AAGGTTTTAACCGTTTTTTAAATGAACACAATGCTCTGGTTTTTCTTAGAATAGATTCTCACCTGTACATTGAGGACTTTTCAGAATTAAAACTCAGCACCTAGTGACAGTTTCTTCAAGTTTATTCACTTGAGTTGAATGCTCTTAATAATATATGGGGCATATTAAAGATAACAATTGGTGACGACTATTCATAATGGCGGCATCATGTTTACTATTTGGTGTTGTAACTGATATTATAACAGCGATATGGGTTTATATTGGACGAAATCTCCCCTTTCATATTTTAGCTTATGCCATGTTCTTCCCTACACTATTGTCCTTGTGTTTTGTTACCGATTATGTCGAATATTTCTGGAAAATCGTGGGCACAGACCAGGTTTGTTTACATATTTTCAATAGCTTTATTTATGCATGATCGCCTACTTTAGGCCTTATCAAACAATTTCATTTTAATTTGATAAGATAAATGGATATTTTACATTATATTTTATTATTCTAGCATCAATCTCAATCATGTTATAAATGATATAAAAACAAAACTAAAGTTAAATATTACTTACTGATTTGCTGTCAAGTAATGTACAGGTTTATTATGTTGTATTTCTAGGTAATATCAACAAGTACTAGCCATTCCATTATCATTTCACTTGTTTTATTATCAACAAGTACTAGCCATTCCAATATCATGTCACTTGTTTTATGTTATATTCCTAGGTAACATCAACAAGTACTAGTTATTCCATTATCATGTCACTTGTTTTATTATGTTATATTTCTAGGTAATATCAACAAGTACTAGTTACTCCATTATCATTTTACTTGTTTTATTATGTTATATTCCTAGGTAACATCAACAAGTACTAGTTATTCCATTATCATGTCACTTGTTTTATTATGTTATATTTCTAGGTAATATCAACAAGTATTAGTTACTCCATTATCATTTCACTTGTTTTATTATGTTATATTTCTAGGTAACATCAACAAGTACTAGTTACTCCATTATCATTTCACTTGTTTTATTATGTTATATTTCTAGGTAATATCAACAAGTATTAGTTATTCCATTATCATGTCACTTGTTTTATTATGTTATATTTCTAGGTAATATCAACAAGTACTAGTTACTCCATTATCATTTCACTTGTTTTATTATGTTATATTTCAAGGTAATATCAACAAGTACTAGTTACTCCATTATCATGTCACTTGTTTTATTATGTTATATTTCTAGGTAATATCAACAAGTACTAGTTACTCCATTATCATGTCACTTGTTTTATTATGTTATATTTCTAGGTAATATCAACAAGTATTAGTTACTCCATTATCATGTCACTTGTTTTATTATGTTATATTTCAAGGTAACATCAACAAGTATTAGTTACTCCATTATCATTTCACTTGTTTTATTATGTTATATTTCTAGGTAACATCAACAAGTATAAGTTACTCCATTATCATGTCACTTGTTTTATTATGTTATATTTCTAGGTAACATCAACAAGTATAAGTTACTCCATTATCATGTCACTTGTTTTATTATGTTATATTTCTAGGTAATATCAACAAGTATTAGTTACTCCAATATCATTTCACTTGTTTTATTATGTTATATTTCTAGGTAACATCAACAAGTACTAGTTACTCCATTATCATTTCACTTGTTTTATTATGTTATATTTCTAGGTAACATCAACAAGTATTAGTTACTCCATTATCATTTCACTTGTTTTATTATGTTATATTTCTAGGTAACATCAACAAGTATTAGTTATTCCATTATCATGTCACTTGTTTTATTATCTTATATTTCTAGGTAATATCAACAAGTATTAGTTACTCCATTATCATTTCACTTGTTTTATTATGTTATATTTCTAGGTAACATCAACAAGTACTAGTTACTCCATTATCATTTCACTTGTTTTATTATGTTATATTTCTAGGTAACATCAACAAGTATTAGTTATTCCATTATCATGTCACTTGTTTTATTATGTTATATTTCTAGGTAATATCAACAAGTATTAGTTACTCCATTATCATTTCACTTGTTTTATTATGTTATATTTCTAGGTAACATCAACAAGTATTAGTTATTCCATTATCATTTCACTTGTTTTATTATGTTATATTTCTAGGTAATATCAACAAATATTAGTTACTCCATTATCATTTCACTTGTTTTATTATGTTATATTTCAAGGTAACATCAACAAGTACTAGTTACTCCATTATCATTTCACTTGTTTTATTATGTTATATTTCTAGGTAACATCAACAAGTGTAAGTTACTCCATTATCATTTCACTTGTTTTATTATGTTATATTCCTAGGTAACATCAACAAGTACTAGTTACTCCATTATCATTTCACTTGTTTTATTATGTTATATTTCTAGGTAACATCAACAAGTACTAGTTACTCCATTATCATTTCACTTGTTTTATTATGTTATATTTCTAGGTAACATCAACAAGTACTAGTTACTCCATTATCATTTCACTTGTTTTATTATGTTATTTTTATGTGACATCCTTAATATATTACACAGTACTAGCAATTCCAATATCATTTGTTCTTGTTTTATTATGTTATATTTCTAGGTAACATCAATAATATATTACACAGTACTAGTTATTCCATTATCATTTCACATGTTTTATTATGTTATTTTCTATGTGACATCCTTAATATATTACACAGTACTAGCAATTCCAATATCATTTGTTCTTGTTTTATTATATTATTTTTCTAGTTAACATCAACTTTATATTACACAGTACTAGCAATTCCATTATCAGTTCTACTTGTTTTATTGTGTGTTGGTATAGATTTGTTGTTAGGATGGGGCACTCGTAGTAAGTATGGCAGTATATTTCACATTAAACGCGTGTAAGGGTGAGGGCACACGAACAGTCTTGGTCGCAGATATTTGTCGCCAA